TTTAGTTGACTTCAGGCTTCACAGAGAGGAAGGAACATCGCAGGGAAAAAGTCGAGAGGAAGGGGGGGGGGAGAACAGAAGAGTGTTTCAAAGATGTAAAAGAGGCAGACAGACACAAAGGTAGAGAAAAGGTAAGATGAGTACTGTGAAGTGGTGTAATATGACATAGTGTCGGGTCATAATAGTTAGAAGTCAGAAGTCAACTGCCGGTTTATAGGCTTAATAAACATAATTGTGATTAGATGATAGTGTGGATATCAACAAGTAGTCTAAAGAATACCGCCTAACGAGGGCAAACGATTAATAATATATAAACTCGTTTATGTCAATAAACTGAAGCGACTCATCAGCCATATTCACAAAACAGTGGCTTGATTTGCAGATAAGACAACATAAAGGAGGGCATAACGATTTATAAAAGGGAACAAGCTAAAGTGAACTTAAACGTATTTTAGAATTTTAATATCAAAATGACTGATTGAATCGATACCTACATTCGAGGAGAGCAAAAAAGGTGACAAATTCAAATAAAAATGATAAAATAATTAACAATGAACGTGAGAGAACGGCAAAGCCAACTTATTTTTTCTACATTATTAATTTTGAAAATCAAGGCAAGAAATGTGCCACGGTTATAAAACGTACATAAAATTCGTAAGTAAACCGGAAGATACAGAAATAATTAAAAACACTTCTGGAACTTACACTTTGAATCAAATCCTCAACGTGACCCTGGAATCCCCAGACTTTAAATTCACAGGTAACTAATTTATAAGCACACATTACGGGACAATTGTGCTCTTTCTACAAGATAGGTACTTAATTATGACCATACCAAATAAATAAACATACCTCCCACCAGCGTCCTTTTTGCAAGGGTCCACGATTCGTTTTCACAGAAACATATTCTGTGGGGTCTTCGGAAGGTTTTGTGTCACCAGCAGCTGTAGACTCAGAAATGTCCACATAAACTACTTTCCTTTTATCCAACAATTCACGGGGAAGGTTGTGAGCCTAAATATGCATGAGCATCACTAATAAAATCTTACATTTTCTAGGTGTATGTCAGACGAATGAAAAGTCTCAATTTTAATTCTGAATCTGTCCTGAAAATAATCATTCTATTGAAAGAAAGATTAAAATTATGTGTTTAAATACGCTCAGAATTGTTCGGCAATAAGGATATGCATTCCAAGCAATTTCGTTAAATGTCATTAAGCTGGTAGGCAGTATGGATGAGACAAAGCCAGGCAACTTATTAGCAACATGGTAAATCTTGTGAGTATATTGTCCGATTTCATAACCCTCTAAAAGTGGTTCGCTTGGAGGAAATTTTTCTGAATCAAACGGACAGTTTTCAATTACTTCTACACCGTCTCCACCACCAGTTTGCTCTTTAGACGCTTTTGCAACTGCATACAACTGTGCCACTTGATACTCTTCCACAGTTAAAGGCAATATAACCCTGCTATAAAGGAAGATATTAATCGATGAAAGTGCTGACTTACTATTCGTATATTAACATCGCGTCATGAGCAAATAACCCAAGAGTAACTTACGCTTCCAATCAAACCTGAGGGTGTGACCTTCAACAAATGATCTTTTGGGTGGTTTGGCCGCTTCAGACAATCCAATTTTAAGTTAATAGTAACTTTAAAGATTCAATATTCAATAATTTTTTGTTTTAATTAAATATATTAAATTAATATATATTTCCTTTTGTTTGAATAAATTAAATACCCCTTGTATTATTTAATTAATACAAATTATTTGGATTTTATTTGTGATTTATCCTTTTATCATAACTATTTTTTTATAGAAAATCACAAAGAGCCTTACCACCCTTTAAACAAAATGTTCGATCAAGGAAAATAATAAATTTGAAACTGCAATTTATGTTTTGGGCCACAAAATTGTGATTATTCCCCCTAATATAGTTATTTTTGCTAAATAATTCAATGTAACTTAAATCTGGGTTTAGATGTCATTGCGAGTTTTGTAGAAAAATAAAATAGGGATTCTTTATGATCAAACTTTCAGATATTGCTTATTGTTACATCTGATGCGTTATTAGATGTTCCTCTATAAATTTATATCGTTTCAAATATTCTTGAATAAATTCATATTGAGTGAGCTTCGTCAATTCTTGTTGTCAAACGGTTTTATCTTGCACTTTTCTACTATCTTGTGCATCAGATATAAAAGTTATGCTGATTTTTTCCAACATGCGGATTAATCAGCCGGTCAATAAATATCAGAAGGCATGAACATAAATCTTGCTCATGAATCCGAGGGTAAAGTCTTTTTTGTCATTGATAATTGGCATGCCTTTATGCATATAAATGTTGAATAGGATACCCTAATGAAATGCGTAACAAAACTCCATAATGATAATCTAAACAGAAATAGGTTCTGTAAATCAAGGAAAGAAAAAATATGAAGCTTTCATATTTGGTTGTAACTATCCATGAATGAACTATAAGTTTTACATAGTTCTGTGTACTTGAAATTTCCAGTTCACTTTCAACAGGCACTTTAATTACCATGACGATGGTGTTAAGTGTGAGGTAGCAATGACCATCGAAACTCTATGGCATGCACTTTTATTTTTCCTTGCCACTTTAAACGGGCATGCGAACATTTGTGTCCCCCCCCCCCTCCTCCCGCCCCCCCTAAATCAAGTTTGGAGGCGTCCCCTCGTGGCACACACACTCAAACATCAAAGAAGTCTACACACTGCCACTTCTGCCAAAGTTTGGGTGAATTGTCTCTCACTCCCTCCCTCAGCACATGCCTGTTGGCACACATTCCTTCGCATCTCATACTTCTTCCGCGTCTTTTTGCGTCTATTATGTCCCTCATAACCTATAAAGTGGACATGGCGATATTTATTAGACACACGAGACCTTGAGAATTGTGGCCAATTGGACAGAACAAGACGGTTATTTAAGTGGTTCACACTTTTAACTATTCACCAACTAAATCACTTGAGTTTGAGTTAAATAACAAGATTTATGCAGATGAATTATTTAACTTACGCTAACTTTTCACTCTTCTAATTATGCACATATAACCAAATCTATAATTGACTGTTCATGCTATCATAACTTTCTACAGATATTTCAGTTATTAAATCGCCTTGCGGGGTTATAGTCTACTCCACTGCCAAGTTTCGAAATATTTCCAGTGTTAGACTGACTTCCGAAGTCATACTGATTTCAAGATAATTTTAATAATCCAGTCACCTTTCCATTTCTAAATAATTTTTTTGAAAATAGTTAGTTTTCGATAGTAATTAAAATTTTCACTGGCTACAATTTAAAAATATTTAACCTGATATCAAATAACAACGTTTTGCTACTGTGTAGGAAACAGATCCTGAAGGGTTCTAGGTTTTGCAACGTTCCATCTTGATGCAATGTGTCTATGTTAACTAAAAGTGTAATGAAATCACTGAATTTCCATTTTGGTTAACCTGTTCATTTCGTCATTTCAATATTTCCTCTATTTAGATGCCTCATCACGATTTAGGAATATTTACTTTTGACATTGTCAGGAGATGATGATACATTTTTTCAGGTCAATGTGGAACCATCTGGTCTAAACTTAATGAAAAAAATATTGTCTTCATGA